TCTTCCGATCTAGTAACTGCCCGCAAAATTTTAAACCAAAATAACTCTTATAATTCGTAAAAAAATTTCGTTATATCATACATCGTTGTATTTGTTAAAAAGAACGCTACAACTTTTATTATATTAAAATTGTCCATATTATTATATTAAAATGTTACCATGCAAAAATTAATCACGCGTCTTTTCGCTCTCTAACAGATAATATTTCTAAGTGATCACTGCATGCTTACAATAAGGTTTAGTCAGAGCCATTTAATTTGATATTATATGTCTATCTCTATTAGTTTACAAGATAAAAAGGGGTGGCCACTTATACGAGGATACCCTGTATAAACTATGTTTTAAAAAAAATGAAGATCATAGGAAAACAGCATTAATATCAATAAATCAAGGAATAACATTTCAGAAATTGTGCTAATTTTAATGTTAAAAAATTCAATGATGACAAAAATTTATTAATTCATTCTTTTATCGATATTGTATTAATTATGCTAATTCAACGCTAAATCTCATTTTAAATGCATTATTTTAATGCAATGGAAATTAGACAATTATCATCAAAATTTTTAAAAGCACACTAATATAATTAATCATTCTTAATTATTTATTCATGATGATGAGGTGTGAACTAATGTACATGTAAGAGTTAATTTAAAAAACCAATTCTTCCGTTAATCGAACTTCTTCATATGTAGCCGTATATTGAAATAATCATAAAAAAGAGATTGAATTCACAACCAAAAACAAAATAAAAATAGAATATCTGCGTAACTTCTTTGTAACTATCTGCATGGTAATCACAGTTTTACACATGTTAAATTTCTTTCATTAGTAGACTTAGAGTCGTGTTTATCAGAGTTAAAAATAAAATATTAATAATTGCATAAGACATGCAGAATAAACACGTTTTTACAATAGATAAAAACACGTTTGTGTTTTTTATATGATTACTACATATTACAAAATTAGCAAAATAATATTTTGTTTAGTCCGTAAGAACCATAAATAATATCGATAACAAAATATTAGATAGATATTTATTTTAGATATTTACTCTCTGAGCGTAGAAAGGTTGTGAGCAGTAGTCGGAGTGATTGGTGACACCTTTAGCAGCGACGGTCTCGTTCAATATATAGAGTGTTCGCTTTTGATCGCAGGCATAGTGGCGGAGACAGGGTTTCGGTGGTGGCGGCGGATCTGGTGCATCCTCATCGAAATGGATTTTGCCATGAATGCCGGGCAGGTTTACAAACTGGGTCGCGAACCACATCAACCGCAACAGAAACCAGAACAACATCCTTGCCATATGTTGCAGCGGTTCTATCAAGCTGTTGGCAGAGTTTTTCTCGATTTCCTGGAACAATATGCCCCTCCGTAAGAACATCTTTTATAAAATACAAAATAGAAAAGTTTCGGCAACGACTTTGTTCTTCACGCCATTTTTATCTTCCTTTCAAATTACAAAACTGGCTCCCCTTTATAATTTTGATTACTACTAAAAACTTCAACTGTGAAATATATTTAAATATGACCTTTTAATACAGTTATTTTTCGATTCTTCAATCATTGAAAATTATTTTTTGGCATGTGTTACTTACGACATTCCGACACCATGCTTGATAATCATAAATGTCGACCGGATTGTAAACACCTTGCTTGACCATGGACAGCATGACAGCGCCTTCCTGAGTGCCCATAAATTGTCCCATAAATTGTCCGGTGTCGTTATGTGCGTCCGAGATCACCACGTAGCCGTTCTGATCTAGCAGGTAGCAATTGATCCAAATGTCGGCGCAATTCATTTCAAAATTTGTGGCTGAGGTCAACGCCATGAATCGCTTGTACAGATCTTTTATCGTCATTTGAAAACCTACTACGGCCGCTGGCGCTTTCTTGCCGCCATCCTTGGGCGACAGGCTCATCGAAATGGTCACTATTGCATCCGCGCCTGCTTCCCATGGTACTATAATAAGGATATTTTGTCTCTTGTAATAGATAATACATTATCCTACCAGACATTTCAAATATAATCATTTGTAATTGTAATATTATATTACAATTACAAATGATTATATTTGATTAATCTTACAATTAGTCTTACCGGATAAAGAAATACTGTCAGAATCCAATTCATTTTGAAAGATCGCTCCTTTGTACCAAGGTTCATTCACTGCTCGTCTATGAAGGTCGCCGAAGGCAATACCGTCGTCCGCATGCGGCAGTTTACTGGCTCTCAGATGATGCCACCTGGTGAGGCCGCTTTGCGTCGCGATGAACCTTACAAAGATACCGTAGCGCTGTGCCAGATCCCGAGCCCTTGGCGGCAAATCCTCCATATAATCACCGCGGAAGCTGTCATTCGTCGCCTTGGCATCAAAAACGAGCAACTGCATAAGTTCCTTGTTGCAATAATAGTCATCGTGTTTGAGTGTCTGCCTGCCACAGTTGGGCTCTTTATCTTCGTCTATGGACGGATAAGCCTCATATTGCTCGGACCAGCGCCAGCCAGGTCGACTCATCAGCCCCAAAAAGTGAAGTAACTCGTCTTTCGAACTGTTGAATTCATGACCTTCCAAATAGTGGTAACGACAATATACCCAGCTCGGATGTACACGCCAATGATCGCCGACAAAATAGTCGGACACATTCACATTCATGTTTTGGATTCTGCGGATTTCATCGCCAACCTTGAAGAATTTGATATGCAATTATTTGTGAGCACATATTCAATATTAAGGGATTAGACCAGCTTTGAGGCCTTAAAAGAGACCTAAGTTTGGGATTTTTTTGTGAATAAATATAGCTAACTTTATTAAAAATCTATTTAGAGAACATTATTGTATATACAGGGTGTCTCGTATTCAATGGTACAGCGCTTGTGGGCAGGTAGTGTGGACCAAACTGAACAAAAAAGTCCTTTACCATTTTGCGATCTTCGCAATAGTTATCGAGATACTATAATTATTAAAAAAAAATTTACGCTAAGTATATACAAGTGTATCGTACATTACATCTTATCTAAACCAAAAATATTATTTTAACAAATAAAAATTGTCCAAAAACAAATATGAGATCATACAACTTGCCAAGTATTTGATTAGACATAGAGAGTAGAGACAAAAATATTTTATTCCAAACCAGAAAAATATTTTTTTAATAAATCGTTTAAGTTATTCAAAATTATATACAGCAAAAGTTTAATGCCATTGTCTTTCCAAATAACTTTAAGTTTCGTAAAACAGACTTAAAGTTATTAAAATGATCAATAGAATCATAGTGAAACAAAAACTTGGCCATTATGTAAAATTTTTTCTTTTTTAAAATGATTAGTATTTCAA